CCACCGCTAGCTCAATAAATAAAGGTTATTTAAAAAATAAAATGTTAATTCACATGTCAAAGATCTCTTTGTACACAACATTTCTTGCGTAAATCTTCCTATCATTTTTAAGCTCGCCTTGCAGAGGACCATCCATTATTTTTAAGTTTACGTCCGTTCTTTCACGAAAACTTGAACAGGCAACATAAAGTTGACCGTGTCCAAATGCAAGCTCAGGTAAAAAAAAAAAAAAATGCCAACATGCTTAAGCGTTTGGCCCTGAGACTTATGGATGGTCACAGCAAAGGCAAGTTTTAGAGGAAATCGTCTGCGTCTCAATTGAAACGGCAACCCTGTGCCGTGGCAACTTCACCCCATTGGCTAGTACAGTTACGCAAGCAACTAATAAGCTATCGGCAACAAACAGACACTTAAGCAGCATATATATATATGGCGTAAAGTAACATCTTCTCCTCCGAAACGACTGGCTCACGGGCTTAGCGAAGCACACCGTTGGATTCTGCAGGTCCGTGGCACGCCATTTTGACCATTCGCGTCTTCTTGGGATTTTAATTAGCCAAGATATTAATTAAAAACTAATTTCCCCCTACGTTTTCCCTACATTTTCCTTTTTCTTTCTTGGGTTTTCCCTATTAGAGGGATTTGGCTACTTGTTAAATTCTTTTTTCTCGATTATCTGCGGAACGGCGCCGAGTTGAAATTCGAGACGCGTATCCTCGGATTCCAAAAAATTCTTCGAATCCATCGATACCGTTCTCATCTTCGTGCGACTTTAATCGGCCGAGATATTAATTAAAAATTGCGGAAACGTTAATTTCCGCGCTCATTTTTCCGAGTGGCTACAATAAACTATCGGCGACACACACTTCAGCCGCTTAGATATATATAAAGACATGATATCCTTACTAATATTATAAATGCGAATGTGAGTTTGTTTGTGTGTTTGTTTGTTACGCTTTCACGCCTTAATTACTAAACCGATCATAATGAAATTTTGAAGAAATATTTTTGATATATTAAAAAAGGTTTTGATGTATTAGAAAGGCTATAAAATATCTTCGTACGAAATTAATTAGCCGAGATATTAATTAAAAACTACTTTTCCCCTACATTTTTCACTTACTTTTCTGGGTTTTTTCCTGTTAAAGGGATTTGGCTACGTGCCAATTTATATTTTCACAATTATCTATGGAACGGCGGTTAGTTGAATTTCAAGATACATATCCGCTGATTCCAAAAATTCTTCGAAATCCATCAATACCATTCTCATCTTCGTACGACTTTAATCAGCTAAGATATTAATTAAAAACTCTGAAAACGCTAATTTGAGTGCGACTCAATAGCGACATTAGGGACTTTTTCTTGAATCTTCCCGTATGGGTCCAATAAATTGGTGATAAAAAATATAACTTTTGATCTAATTATCCAAATTTCTCGAAATTTAAAAACTTGTGTCGCTCTCTGAATGATAGGAACTTTGGTGGTGTAACTGTTTTTGTCGCTTAAGGGGACTCGTACACCTTAAACCCCTCATGATCTTCGAAAATGTGACTGTTGCAAGAACTGGGATATTTTACTTATTTTAAAAGCAATTACTTCCAACGTTTTACAGCTGGCTACATAATATAGCTGCTTTGGAAACTAGTAACCAGAAAGTTTGTGTTGCCACAAATATGTTTGTAATTTAATCCTCTTTGTGACAAAATATTTCGCCATGTTTCCACCTTGCGCGCATGATATTTTAAAAATGGTTAATGGAACATACTTGAAATTGGATGGAATTCTTTACATGGGCACTATTTTCTAACTGAACCAAGAATTTGGTGAATATTTTAATACTGAAAAATTTTATGGACAAAAACATTACAAATCTTGTTAATAAAATACATTTTATTAACTCAACTCAAAATAAAATAAAAATTTAACATGAAATTTTTACAATTTTAGGTTCACAGTAGTTTTTAAATGTTATAAAAGCTATATATTAAATATGGAATTAAATTATGAAACAGAATGTTTCAAACTGTGCGCTCAAGTTGGAAACATGACGAAAAATGTTGTCACAAAGCGGATTCAATTATAAAAATGTTTGTGGCAACACAAACTTTCTGATTACTATTTCAGAAAGCAGCTATATTATGTAGTCAGCCGTAAAAAGTTGATAATAATTGCTTTTAAAATAAATAAGTTATCCCAATTCTTGCAACAGTCACCTATTGGAGCATCTTATGGGTTTTAAGGTGTATGAGTCCCCTTAATTACTTCTAGCTTAATCACAGACGAAACAATACTCCACATGCTATTGTTAATTCTTTGATGACAGGCTGCCATTCGAAAGTGACGGAGGGTATCCGGTCGACCGTTGGGTTGGCGTAAAAGTCAAAGTTCACGAATTTACACATGGAAAATCATTTTAAAATTAATAACTTCTAATTATCTTACCGACTTGAAACTATTATCAACATTTCGACTTTTGTGATATATTTAATGTTTTGTTTCGTATTTATTTAAAGATCTATTCATTCGTGTTATATACTTCTGTTACTGTTGCTTGAAAAATTGCATTTACATTTTATATTCTTTACATTTTACTGTGTGCGATAAAAAATTTTGTTTTATCATTTTAAGGCGCTGGAGTGTCCTTTATTTTGAAATTTTACGCGGAGTGTATTTTTAAGATTCACGCGGAATTGAAACTTATTTAAGACATCAACGCGAGCGAAGCCGCGGGTAAAGCTAGTAAATACATAAAGAAACTTAATGAGATACATTCCGATGACCTCACTGATCACGTGACTTATGTATACCTTTTGTAAACAAACAATGTGCAGATGACCTCAGAGATCACGTGACTTATGTACAGCTAATGCAAGCAAGCAAGGTCATTCTTCCTCTTCTTCTCTTGCGGAATGTATCTCACAGAGCAAAAATAAAAAAACGAATTTTTATACCCGTCCTGCGCTATAGCTGCAGGTCTGAAGTGAAATAAACTTACAGCATCTAAAGTTAAAAGTAAATTGGAGTAACGCAAAGCAAGACAATTCCTCAACAACATAATCCTTGTATAAGATGCTTAATGCAAAATATAACCAATTCAAAGCTAAAAAAAGGATCCTAGTAGTACAAACTCGAAAACTAAAAATGAAAAAGGGAAAAAATGTACAAGAAATAAAAATATAAAAATGAATTCCTTTTTACTGAAACTCCAATTCAAACACCTCATCAGGGAAAAATGAATTAAAGCTTCATAAAAGTTGATTAATATGCTTCGAAAACGTATTTCTTTCTCCTGGCTCATTTGAGATTAAAAACCGAAAAAATAAATAAATTTTCATTACATTAAAATTCAAATAAAACCGAAAAAATTGGTTCTCAAATGCACCACAATTTCCCATACGCGCCTACGAGATACTTGGAAAAAAGAAAAAAAAAAAAAAAACATTGTTTCAAACTAATACACAAAAAAATCCATAAAACTTTAGACTATGTAAAATGACCATTCGGAAGAAGTAACAAATTGGCAAATTGGTCTAAAAATAAACGGGGGTTAGCATACCTATGTCTTGACGTAACACCCAGAGTAAACAGTCAATACAAGTAAGGTCTGCCGATCTTCCTGGTAAATGCACAGGACCATCCCTGCCGATCCCGTGTTAAGAATACGTTTCGAATGTAATTTCGAACACCTTCTTTGATGACGATCGTCGGATTTTGTTCTTATTTCTTGGTTTCCACTGCACTAAGCATAATAAACATACATTCTCACCCTGTTCGTGACGTTCCTTTCTTGCGTTTTGTGTCCTAACTACAGCACATGGAAAGCATCTCCGACCGGCATTGCTATGTGTTTAATCATCGTCTAGGTATAATCTCTCGTGAAAGTTATAACCAATTTGCTGAAACACCTTGTGTATTGTACAGGCGCAGTGAGATAGCTTCTCCGTAAAGCAGTTTTAGGGGTGCCATAAAAGGGCGAGGAAGGCAGGGTTGCCACATTTGGCCATAAATCGCTCATTCGGCGACAAAATTTGCGCTATTCCATAGACAGAGGGAGAACCTTCTGGAACGAATTCTTACCGGTTAAGCCCAGAATGTTCTCGAACACAAGCCGAAAGCTGTATAAACCCTGCTGCTCCGCAGTCAGTGTGTGTGCCTCGTCGAGTGCCTCGCATAGAAGGCGAGATAGTTAGTATCGAGTTGGTGTCTCGTCTAGCGAGTCAATCCCTGCGGAGTCCCTCGAGTTGACAGCCGGGCAGCGAGTGCCGAGTGAGTCGTCGAGGGCCCCAAAGGAGTCTCTTAGTGTATCGCGGTTAGTGCATCGTCGAGAGAGCGTGTTGAGCTCCGGAAACGACTGAACCGAAGATTCGGGACCTGTGCTCTGTGTGTCGTCAAGTGCATCGCCATTTGTGGCGTGGAGAGTCAGAAGAGTACGTGGAGTTCCGAGAACGACCGAGCAGAGTCGGGAGCTGTACTCTGGTACTTTGCAGTGAAGCTGTCTCCACCGTGATAGTCTGATAACCTGGAGGCTGTGTCGCTGATCGTGTCAGCGTGTTTACAGTAGTTCGTCGACGACTGTAAAAACGTGCTTTTTGAGCTGTCTTGTCAATACTGGCTAATAAAATGTGTTTCGATACTTCATCAAGTAGTGTCGTCATTATTCACTCCAAATCCTCACGAACTCCGTACGAACGTGAAGGAAGAAAATAATGTAACAACTGGTGTCAGAAGTAAGAAAGATCGTAACAATATAAATCTCATATATAGTTATATAGAGACATACAAAAATATGAAAAGCTAGAACAGTTTGTTTGAATTTGCCTCCTTTAGAAAACATCAGGTTGCACACTATATCGAAATCTAAGTAATTTGCTAATTTGTTGTGTTTTTATTTCAGAATAATGTCCGGTACATACAAGTTCTCGCTTTCTGTTTATATTTTTGTTGTATATTGCAAAGACTAAATATGAAGAGAATGCCTGTAAAATTTTTCTTTCCCTTAGGACTGTTTCCCTGGCCGCTTCAAGGTAGCTTACTGTGTGAACTGCCCTCCTTTGGCCGATGTCGTGTGGAAATTGTTCAAACCACTTATCAGAGAAAAATACAGGAAAAGGGTATGTTTCTCCTTTCAATCGATATTATTAATTTCGTAATAAACAGGAGTATAAGCTCCACGTAATTTCAGGAAATTGTTGAATACCTGACTGTAATACAGCTATACTCTCATTTAATTATTCACTCATAAAAGTTTAGTAAATTTTAATTGTCATTTTCTAATTCATACAATTTTAGTAAAAAAGTTAACTCTTTCTTTCGGTTATTAAAACACACTTTTAATTTCAAAATAAAGTATTAACTTTAATGTGAAAATTTATTAAAAATCATTTCTGTAATTATTTTTAAAATTATCTCACTATATATTTTAAGTTGTCTTTTACTGTACAGGTGTGTTCAAGTAACATGTATGACCTAACAAAGGAAACTCTAGACCAAAAATTACAACTGGCAGCTACAATTAAGGATGGTCAAAATAGAAAATTACCATAATTATTGCATTGTGTAATAATTTGGGTCAAATAATTATGCCAAGGACTTAGACTACCTTCCAATAATTAAAAAAACAATAAAATTATTTCACTAGGTATTTTATGTTGCCTTTTGCTATATAGGTGTGTTCAAGTAATATATATAACATCACAAAGGAAACTCTAGACCAAAAATTACAACTGGCAGCTACAATTAAGGATGGTCAAAATAGAAAATTACCATAATTAATGCAAAGTGTAATAATTTGCGTTAAATAATTATGTCAAGGATTTAGACTACCTTCTAATAATTAAAAAAACAATATAATTGTTTCACTATGTATTTTATGTACCCTTTTGCTATATAAGTGTGTTCAAATAATATGTATGACCTAACAAAAGGAACTGTAGGCAAAAATTACAACTGGCAACTGCAATTAAGGACAATCAAAATAGAAAATTACCATAATTATTGCATAGTGTAATAATTTGCGTCAAATAATTATGTCAAGGATTTAGACTACCTTCTAATTAATTAAAAAACAATAAGTTATTAAAAAAACTAAATATGTTACTGAACTTTATTAGAAATTGGTATCTTTTCTTATTATTTTTATAATATGTATTAAATTTTCGTAAAACCTTTGCAAGAATAAAAATGAAATTATATTATGCTCATATAAAATTAGCAAGGAAGTACATAAAAACTTTATTAAGACGATGATACTAAGCCAAATGCTAATATTTGTAAACTGTTGACTTTCTATACCTATCCCCACGTAATCAAAGCGCTTGTGTAGATCTTACTGAGCATATTTGGGAGCACTTGCAAGATAAAATCAATGAAGTCAGAATTTCCAAAACAAATGTCCTTGGGGAAAACTCGTGACGGATGGTAAGAAACAGAAGCATATCTGAATCAAAAGCTTATTATATCCTGCCTGGAAGTCCCAATAAATTTCTGAAAAGGAAAGCAGGCTCAGTATATTATTAGAAAAAATTTATGGAGTTTCCTTAATACGCTTGTCTGCCTCGATATTTTCTTGACAATTACTTTTCCGTTTGTTCACGAAAAGTGTAAAATTTAATATTTATTTCATTTTATTTTTAATTAATTTTAAGATTTTTTGACTTCGTTCAGCTCTAATATATGGTATGTAATAAAAATATTTAGTCTCAATCAAATATTAAGTTATTTCTCAAAATATGTCTTAAAGCTTGTTCTGCCCCAATACTGTTAACTTACTGTAGCTATAATCGACGACTTCAGTTTTTACACATTTAACAGCTATCTATTTGTGTGCCTCCGTTACGATTAAAAACGGTCTAATTATAATCGTCGAGTAGAAATCATAAGCATATATCTCTTGGCTTTTCAGAAATTCCTCCAGGAAAGCATCCTTCTTTTAGGCAGCTAATTGCCATTTTCAAATATCCAAATCTAACCTCTTGGGGTCAATACCAGCGTGACAGATAAGATTATGCTTTTTCAAGGTCAAGCATTTCTCTTCCCGGCGCTGGATACTATGACGTATCTTATCTATCTGCTCACCTTGCTATCACGCATCCATTTGTTTCGTATGAAAAACTGTTTAAAATAATTGTAGGTGTGTGCCATTGAAAGAAAGATGCACGACGTTTTCCGTCTTTTCACAAAAAAATCGAAGTAATTCGTTTTCGACAAATAATCAATTTTCAGCATAAGTTATTCGTTTTCAACAACTAATCAGCGATCAGTATAAGTAATTCGTTTTCAACAACTAATCAGCTATCAGCGTATGTTATTCGTTTTCAGCAACTAAACAGCTATCAGCATTTTTAATTCGTTTTCAACAAATAATCAGCTATCAGCATAAGTTATTATTTTTCAACAGATAATCAGCTATCAATCAGATTTTCAACAACGAATCAGCTATCAGTTTAAGGGGACTCGTACACCTTAAACCCCTCATGATCTTCGAAAATGTGACTGTTGCAAGAACTGGGATATTTTACTTATTTTAAAAGCAATTACTTCCAACTTTTTACAGCTGGCTACATAATATAGCTGCTTTGGAAACTAGTAACCAGAAAGTTTGTGTTGCCACAAATATTTTTGTAATTTAATCCTCTTTGTGACAAAATATTTCGTCACGTTTCCACGTTGCGCGCATGATATTTTAAAAATGGTTAATGGTACATACTTGAAATTGGATGGAATTCTTTATATGGGCACTATTTTCTAACTGATTCAAGAATTTGGTGAATATTTTAATACTGAAAAATTTTATGGACAAAAACATTACAAATCTTGTTAATAAAATACATTTTATTAACTCAACTCAAAATAAAATAAAACTGTCACATGAATTTTTTAGATTTTAGGTTCACAGTGTTTTTAAATGTTATAAAAGCTATATATTAAATATGGAATTAAATTATGAACAGAATGTTTAAACTGTGCGCCAAGTTGGAAACATACGAAAATGTTGTCACAAAGCGGATTAAATTATAAAAATGTTTTGTGGCAACACAAACTTTCTGATTACTATTTCAGAAAACAGCTATATTATGTAGTCCGCCGTAAAAAGTTGATAATAATTGCTTTTAAAATAAATAAGTTATCCCAATTCTTGCAACAGTCACCTATTGGAACATCTTATGGGTTTTAAGGTGTCTGAGTCCCCTTAAGTTATTCGTTTTCAACAACCAATCAGCTATCAGCATAAGTTATTCTTTTTCAACAAATAATCAGCTTTTCAACAACCAATCAGCTATAAGTTATTCGTTTTCAACAACTAATCAGCTATCAGCATATGTTATTCGTTTCAACAACTAAACAACTATCAGCATAAGTTATTCTTTTTCAACAAATAATCAGCTTTTCAACAGCCAATCAGCTATTAGTATAAGTTATTCGTTTTCAACAACTAATAAACTATCAGCATCGAATACCCCGGTATTCAACCAAATTTTGTAACTGAAAACTAGGACTGAGAACTGCAACTATAGTTTTTAATTGAGAACTAACTTTGTGATAAACCTTTGCAGTGTAATCACAAAGCAATTCGTGATAATTGGTTGTTTTATATCATTTGATAAAGCAGAAAAATTGTCCTAAACAGTCGTTCTTTCGAAATCTTTGAATACGTGATACGTCCTTTACGAGTTACGGACGTCGACGTCATCACGTTGGTTGACCTTGGTCCACAAGAGCAACCCTTGTCGTGTAGTAACCTTGATTATAGGAAGGTTTCTACACATATCCGTAGTATACCCACCCTTGGAGATCATTTATGTTTTTGAATACTAGTGGAAGGGCAGCCGCTATGTAATACACATTAAATGCTTAAAAAATTATACTTTATTTCAGGTAAGACAGACGTGCTCTTGTAAGCATGTTAGGACATCTCGATTTTCATTGTATTGGGCCAGTTCATAAATTCATGCGCATTAAGAGTATGCGTGAAATTCACCCTAACGCATTTACTAAAACAATACAATTTTGATCCTGTTGAAATTTTTCATCGTTTGACTAACATATTATTCAGTTCATTACCAACTTTCCTAAATATCGAACGCATTTTAGTACCCATAGAAGATGAATATAGATAATCAACACCAGCGCGCTGTGCTACATTTTTTTTCGTGTGCTCAATCTGCTACGTTTGCAGCGATAAAAATTAATAGTGTACCTGGTGAACACACTATTAGTGTAAGGACTGCCCAGAAATGGTTCAAAAAATTAAAGTTGGAAATAGCAGCATTGATGATAAACCCGTTTCAGGACGTTTTCAAACAAGGCTGCAAAAAATTACTGAATTTAATTGGGAGCTTTTGCCACATCCTGCTTACTCCCCAGATATTGCCCCAAGTGATTTTTACTTATTTCGTGCCTTACAAATTTTTTTACTGGGAAACAAATTAAATTCTAAACAGGATGTACACAATGAACTTTCAAGTTTTTTTGCATCAAAACCAGAGTCTTTCTACAGCAATGGCATAAAAAAGCTGCCTGTAAGATGGCGAGACATTGTAGATAATGGAGGAAAATATATAATTGATTAAAATGTTAAATTGTGTCGTTTTATATTATTTAAAAATTTACCAAAAAATGACACGAATTTATGGACTGACCCAATAAAATACTCGTAAAAGTTAATGCTTCTAGAGCTTTTGCTGCGAGCAAACGCACGATTTGATTTTTCCGCATGGAACTATCAATTTTTTTTGCAAATGAGCTAGTCTCCTAAACTAATGGTTATATAAAAAAAAGAAAAAAATGCAATCAAAACTAATAAAATCTCTTCAGATTTTACATTATGCCCAGGCGTTTTTTTAACGCCTTGTGCATTACATTTATTTATTAAACATCATGTTCTTCGCACTTAAACCGTAAAATTCAATTCAACAGTAATATCGCAAAATAATTTTAAAATGAGCATGTCATTGAAATTTTCGATACAGAGTCTCGCGCGCTGGAGATAAGAATGCTTTTTTCGTACAGTGTTGCCATTGCTCTCTTTGAAATCGTTGAGTTTTTTAATCTAAAGTTCGTTAAATTTTTACAAAATATGAAATAGTAATAAAACAACCTCCAAATTCCGAATTCGGGCTTCCGGATGCCCATATTCGGCGGAGAATTGCGTCATTCAAAATTTGATGGCTCTAGGTACCGTTGTTTTACCACAATGCGAGAAACATACAGATATTTATGCAGAATTTTCATTATTTAATTTCTTTAAATGTAATACAGGGTTGCAATATTTGGTGGCAACAATTTGAAAAGTGAATCAGCGCAGAAAGTGAATCGATCTAAAATGATATTAATAGCTCTTCTGGGTTACGCCATTTCGGCTAAAAACGTACGTTTTTATTTTAATCAGGCTAGCTAGCGTAATATCATAAAAGTATTTAATGTGTTTTGTTAGATACATCATGAATTAAACGTATTTTTATTTAAATAAAAGCGATAAAGGAGTAAAAAATAAATAAATAATCTGAAAGGTGTCAGATTTTATAACGGTCATCCGAAGAGGTTTGTTAAGGTCTTTTTAATCTCTCGCTTAGCTCGCAGTCTACCATTACTGGGCCCCTTTTTTAGTCAAATGGGACTTTGTTCCTAAAGGACTATTGTTTTCGTTTTCCAATTTTGCGTTGAAAATTTTAAAAGGCTGTATCACTATTCAAATCGTTGCCACCCAATACTATCGCTCTGTATTATATTTGAAGAAATTAAATAATGAAGAATCTTCATAACTGTATGTATGTTTCTCGCATTGCGATAAAATAACGGTACCTAGAGCCATCCAATTTTGAAAGACGTAATTCTACTGCGAATATGGGCATCTGAAAACCCACATTTGAAATTTGGAATTTGTTTTATTATCGATTTCTAACGAATTTTTGATTAACAAACTGAAGGATTTCAAAGCGAGCGATGGCAACGTTGCACAGAAAAAGCATTTTTATATCCAACGCGTGATAGTGCGTATCGCAAATTCGAAAGATATGCTCATTTGAAAATTATTTTGCGATATTGCTGTTTGTTGAGCTGAGTTTTATGGTTTATGGTTTAAGTGCGATAAATAATAAGTAATAAATAAAAGTAACATACAAAATGTAAAAAAAAAAAAAAAAAAAAAAAAAAAAAAAAAAAACCCGCACATTTGGACGTAATTTAAAATTTGAAACCTTTCAGACCTTCTTTTTTGTCTTACTAGGCGTCATTTTCTTCACTCTTACGCCAAATATCGGTGAGTCCGATCTGGGCACACCTAGGGTTCGCCGTTTGATTTTAGGCAAGATTTCAAGGTAAACATTTAAAACATATAGAATAAGGAGATTAGCATAAAGCCAAAAAAAAAAAAAATAGAAATTTCTTTTCAAACCATAAAATTCAATTTTTTACCTAAAAATTTGTCTTCTCCTTTTTAATTTTTTTTAATAAAATCATTACATAACTCGGAAGTCGTCAAATTTGTCTTCCTCTTTTTTACCTAAAAAATATATCCTTTTATACCCTAAAAAAATCTGGAATAATCTTAAATCTTTAAATCTTTAATAATCCTTTTATACCCTAAAAAAATCTGGAAGATTTCTATGAAAAATGAGGGTCTTAAAAAACTAAACATTTGTCTTCCCCTTTTTTACCTAAAAAATATATCCTTTTATACCCTAAAAAAATCTGGAATAATCTTAAATCTTTAAATCTTTAATAATCCTTTTATACCCTAAAAAATCTGGAAGATTTCTATGAAAAATGAGGGTCTTAAAAAACTAAACATTTGTCTTTCCCTTTTTTACCTAAAAAATATATCCTTTTATACTCTAAAAAAATTTGGAAAAATCCTAAATCTTTAAATCTTTAATAATCCTTTTATACCCTAAGAAAATGTGGAAGATTTCTATGAAAAATGAGGGTCTTAAAAAGTAAACATGGCTAAAATATATGAACTGGTTTGTGTTGAACTGCCATCTACTATAAATAAAGAAGGTTCAGAGTAACCTATAGTAACCTATAAATCCATTTTCATTCAATTTTTCTGTGCGTACAGAAGGAAATTTTTAGGTGTGTCCAGACCGGGCACACTGTGCCGCAAAGGGTTAAAGGATGAGAAGGAGCTGAAATAGCAGTGATTCTCAAAAAACATTTCGGGTGGTTTGGTATTTGAACATACAGGTTAGCGATCTTTGGTTTTTAAAAAGTTAATCAATTTTGATTGTGTAAAATACCTGCTATCCATGGGCAAAAGAGTAATACTTCAATTGTCCTCCGAAAAACTTCAAAAATCATGAAACAAACTTATTTAGAAATGGTATATAGTAATGATAATTTAATTAATGCGTTTATTTTCTAGATCGTGGTATGTGGAAGTGACATGAAGCTTCTGCACAAGTATATTCACCCCTCTGTACTTCCTGAAGAATATGGTGGGGTTTTGCCCCCCTCTGACTGCACCGAAGCCGTAGACAAAGTCTTGGAAATCGACGAGGAGTGGGAAAAAGACAAACGTTACGGATTTCGTCACGCCGTCTCTAAGTGTAAACAAGAAGAAGATGATCAGGATCACATCTCAACACAAACCGAAGAGGCCTGTATGGCCTAAGAATAATTAATCATCTGCATGTTCCTCATGCCATAGATGATAATCTAATTACTATCGCCTTATAAGTTACAGTAACATTTTAAAATAACACCAACCGAGAATGTTGGCAACGAAAATGAAATGGACCACAAAATAAACGGTGGATTATTCCGTTCCTTTTTAAATGACTTCGATAGTGCTTTTGTTTTGTTTAAATGAACTGAAGGGAATTACTGCAGTCAGAAAACAAAACAACAATCAGAGTGTTATTAATGCAGTTAATGCAATAACTGCATTAATAAGTTACGAAATCGACATCAATACTTGCAAGAGTGGTGAGAAAGTACTATGTGTGTGCTATAAAAAGTATGATAGCAAAGAAAGAATTTAATTCGAATGGATACGATATGTGCACTTTTCTCTCAGATGGATTTAGAATCAACAGTTTAATTTTATTCCATTTCAAGTAAGAGTACTTATGTGGATTTTTGTTCCATTGCAACTCCAGTCAGTTTTGACATTTCTTGTGCAAAGGCATGGCCATGTGGTTCAAAAAGTTTTTTATTTATTTTCACAAATATTTTGGTATCCATGTAGTATGCGATCTACCGCTTTTAGTTATTTATTTATGTCATAGATGGCACCACTGAAACACTACTTTCAATCATGGGAATGTATACGAAAGCATGAATGAAAATGGCACAGATTTAATAACACATTAAGATCTTAATTCCGCTAAATATAAAGTTATTTGAAAAGGACTGAGTTGACAAATTTGGAGAGTTTTTTAGAAAATATCGCCAAACCATCGATAGTTATCCTAACTCCTGGAAAGCATTATCAACATATTAAAAGAAAACATTGTTAAATAATAAACTGTAAAAATGATGATTAAAGATGTAGTACACAATTAATACGATAATGCAAATTAAAAACACAAATGCGAATTAAAAATGATAGTTGTTTTTCCCAGACACACAGTGATCTGTTTTCGCTTAAGGAAACACCAGTGAACTGCACAAATTCGACATTGCACACATTAAACATTTTACATATATATTACATTATATGTGTCACTGTTTTCTCCCTATACACGCAGCTATCTGTTACTACTACAAGAATTTCAGGAGAATTGCAGAAATTCGACATCGCGCACAGTCTAGGCATTGAGCATATCGAGTGTTAGATAGATTATATGATACATTACCGCTGTTTTAATATACAAAAATGCTGAAATATGCCACAATTCCATTAATTGTGATTAACAAAAATAAAGAAATAGAAATAAAATGTGTTGCCAAAAGAAAATCATTACGAAACAATGAAAATGTAGGCTTAATTAAATAAAATCATTACATAACTCGGAAGTTGTCAAATTTGTCTCCCTCTTTTTTCTACAATTCAGGCAATATAAATTCCGGTATTTTTCACAATTTAATAACTATAGCCTGATAAAATAAAAATTTAAAATTTTCATTAGCGTTTATATTGAAATGATCGATAAAATGGAGAAAGGAAATGATAAATGAATAAAACCAGTAGATCACATATTACATGATTATCTGTATGCTCCTTTAATAGATTAAGGAGGTAAATTATTACGACAGTATCTACTGCACAATAAAACGCTGTTAAAGAAATATATTTAAAGGAATCTTAGATTTTTTTGTAATTAAATAATGTGTGAGAGAAGAAACATATCTGGAATCACTGTTTAATCCATTTCAATGTGGTATATTTTATTATATAAGTGCCTTTCTATTATATGCAATTTTTTATAATGTATGTTTTGTGTATTGATGTATTGTTGATGGATGCGTTGGCTTCTTTTTAAGTGAAGGAAAATTTTCAAATGACATTTTTTTTTTTTAAATTTTCGACTAAGTATTAAAGAAATTCCAAAAGGAAGCATAATAGACTATCCTCTTATATGAAATCTGCAACAAATTAAAAATATTTACCTATATGCATATGTGTGAGCATATATACATTTTAATTATTAGTTAAAGAAATCTAAAATCTAATAGACTTTTTTACTTTTAATACCATGTAATTAAATATAATCTATATACAATATATTTTAATAGCAAATTCTTATTAGAGCAATAGTATAAGCAAATTAAATATAATAAAAATATTTAAATAATTGAGCCGTCTAGTACACTATTTAGTATTTTATGAATGGTGCTGAATATCTTCGAAGAAAATTCTACTAGATCTGGTATTTATCCATTAGACAAATCTAAGTGCAAGATTATTCTTCTGTAGACAGACTGAAGGATAACATGTTAAGCTTATTATTTGAATAACATAATATGCATTTGATTTCCATTATAAAATCGTTTACGTGTGCATTAATTTGAAACCTTAAAAGCATATTGACTATTTACACTTAGAAAAACGTGTTTAATATTTCATTGTTTTCATAAGGAATTTTAACATTAGCCATCGTCAATTATCTTTGTGTACTGCGTTGTAAAATTCAATTGTTTCTCTGATATTTGTCTCCATACATATAGTAGTCGCCGCTTAATGTGATCACGCTATTTTCCATACCTATTTTGATAATAATGAATGATATAAAAGCTTTTCTTGAAATTAACAATAGAATTTAATGAATTAAATGTAAATATGAGTAGAAACATATTTTATTGTTTGATCTCCATGCGTAAAATTATCTGTTTTCACTTCAAAAAATTAAGAGAATTGCACAAGCTCGGCATAGCGCACAGTCTCGGCATTACGCATGTTGAACATTATGTAGATTATATATAATGAGAAGATCTTTGAAAATATTGCATTTACAACATTTTGACTGAAAAAAGGCAGTTCAAAATGGATTGTTTGCAAGCTTTATGCAAAAGTTCATTTATGAATGGTTTCTAATGTTTCTGGAAATCATTTGACCGATGCTGTTTTCCAAAGGGCGTTCCTTATATCAGTCTTTATAGGGAATTTGATTGTATGTTCTTCAAAAATTTTTTTACATGATGTGCTTGGATTTGTTTTGGAAAGCCACTGTCAAGTATCGTTTGTCCTTTTCTTCTTCTGAATCAAAAAGACAGACCCGTGTCTGGTGGCTCTCGAAGATATAGTCAATATCAGATATATTCAAAATCTGCGTCAAACTAGACAATAGGTTGCTTTATTGCTTAGTTTTAAATGGTTGACTAAAATAAAAAACCAAGCAGTTGGGTAACTTAATCCCTTGTTTCGTGAAATTTATCAGTCCGCTAGCAAATTTTAAAACTTAGTTTAATCGTTTTTGGAGAATTTAAGTCGGTTTCAAAAATTCGTTCTATAAAATTTTGATAACTTTAATAAACTTGTGGATGACAAAAAAGCGAAATATTTTCCTTGTTTTCGTCTATAAACAACCTGGACTTCTCCCCATATACACAGAGATCAGTTTTCACTTCAAAAATTTCAGAGAAGCTTGGCATCGCGCATAGTTTCGGCATTGCGCACACTGAATTTTATATAGATTATAAAAAATGATAATAATAATTCAATAATAATATCAGAATGATAACATTAACAGCGATCACATGAAGCGGCGTCTAAAATAGTAAGTACAAATGTAAACTATTTAGAGGGATAGTTTGCAGTTTTCTATGAAGTTACGCAGAAGCTGCCAAAATGGCTCGTACCGGAAATGACGTAGTCGAGGTGAACTCACTGACATATACGAATGCTAAAATTTCTTCCAGTAATTTAAATTTTTGAAGTAATGTATCATATTTGAGTGACACCTAATATTGAATCCTTTGTAAGAAACAATCATTCATCTTTAAAATCTATTCTAATATGCAGATTTGAGGTTTTAGTGTACAGTTTACAAAGAGGACAGATACACTATTGATTTTTGAAACAAATTTAATTATTTAAACAACGTATTTTTTATGTCAAAATATGACAAAAAATCAAATGAAAATGATTATAATGTTTTTAGAAAGGAAGCGTTTGTAAAGTTATATATTTACACAAGCCATATACATTACAGTTCTAAGAATTTGTAATTATGTATATTTGTTTAATAAACTTAATATTTTGTATTTTGTAATCTTTTACTTTTCACTTGTTCATCCAAACAACATTCATATTTTAGTGCAGTTTATAAAAAACATCTGATGTGGACACCACATGACTTCCTTGCACGTTCTATAAAATTACTATTCACTTGTTCATCCAAATACGATTCGGGCCCACCAGCGGCCGAGCGGTAAAGTCGCTGAACACTGGTAGTTCGGTCCGAGGTTCGAATCCCGCGAACGGGCTGGCTGCATGGGTGTTTTCGTGGTTTTCCCCATGTGTAACGTGTATACGAGCCAGTTTCCCTTAAAAAGTCCTCCACGAAAGGCATCCCTCCCCTTAGGCAGATAGCCCTAGTGTGCTTTGCCATAATTAAATACACATACACACCAAATACGATTCATATTTTTAGTGCAGTTTAGGAAAAACATCTGATGTGAACCCACATGACTTCCTTGCACGTTCTAAAAATTACAAATTACTATTCACTTGTTCATTCAAATGACATTCATATTTTTAGTGCAGTTTAGAAAAGATTTGATGTGGACACCACATGACTTCCTTGCACGTTCTATAAAATTACAAATTACTATTCACTTGTTCATCCAAATAACATTCATATTTTTAGTGCAGTTCATGAAAAACATCTGATGTGAACACCACATGACTTCCTTGTACGTTCTATAAAATTACTATTCACTTGTTCAACCAAATACTATTCATATTTTTAGTGCAGTTTAGGTTGGGTTTGGTTTATTAGATTATGGCAAAGCACTCGAGGGCTATCTGCCTTAAGGGAGGGATGCCTTCGTTTGGACTTTTTAAGGGAAACTGGCTAGTAAACACGTTACACATGTAGTGCAGTTAAGCAAAAACATCTGATGTGAACACCACATGACTTCATTGCACGTCCAAAAAAATTACAAATTACTATTCACTTGTTCATCCAAATAACATTCATATTTTTAGTGCAGTTTAGGAAAAACATCTGATGTAGACACCACATGACTTCCTTGCACGTTCTATCAAATTACAAATTACTATTCACTTGTTCATCCAAACAACATTCATATTTTTAGTGCAGTTTGAAAAAACATTTGATGTGGACACCACATGACTTTCTTGTACTTTCTATCAAATTAAAAATTACTGTTGACTTGTTCGTCCAAATAACATTCGTATTTTTAGTGCAGTATAGAAAAACATTTGATGTGGACACCAAATGACTTCCTTGTACGTTCTGTCAAATTACACACATTTTTTGCTGCTCTTTTAATCTTAGTTCCTCGAATTACAGATATATTTCTCATTCAATCAAGTCAATTCTCACTTCACAGCAATGAAAAACCACATAAAACTCACTCTTAAGAATTGTAAAATACAGAAAAACGTAAAATACAAAATGGAGTTAAAAATAATTTAAGAAAATTAACTTTTACTAGATAATTAGAGTTTTCTGATGAAAATGAGCAATTAGGCCAGCGGGCAGGAAGACAACATTTTTGGTGCACAGAATTGAAAGTTATCTTTCGCCCACTTGCCAAAAATGCACCAGGCACTGAAGTCGGTGCACCAGCTGGACTTAATTCACAGTTCTGCTAGAGCACACTTAAACTTTTAAATTTTTAATAACTCTACAACACTTGTATGCAGATTAATTAAAGGCATACCTTTAACGAAATGTAAGAACAACATTATTCAACCACTTCTTAGAGCAAAGAATGCACAATTAACGGGCGTGTAAGAATAAAAATCTGGACTCACCGAGCCGGGATACAGTCTTTTCTTTATATGTATATATAAAGAAAGTATAAGAATATATATAAAGTCTTTTCTATATACACTGCTCGACATTGAAAATGCAACACCAAGAAGGAGTGGTCAGAAAGTGATGAAATTTGGAAAAAAGACAGAGACAGCAAGCAGCAATAAGTGATCTTTATTTCAAAATGATGGTCAGAATACAGAGAGAGAACGGCGTCGGCTCAGTAGAATAAGGGACCACGGCAGACAGCGATTCACGAAGAAACACGTCTAGGCATAGAGTCAATAAGAGTGCGGATGGTATCCTGCGGGATGGCTCTCCATTCCCTTTCAACTATTTGCCGCAGTTCGTCTTCTGAACGAGGCAGGGGCAGAGTCTGCAAACGGCGTCCAATCACATCCCACAAATGTTCAATTGGTGACAGGTCAGGGGAGTACGGTAACCAGGGAAGCATCTGTAAACCTTGCAGAGCATTCCGCGCGCTTAAAGTTTGTTCCTCTGAATCTTTGCTTACCAATGAACTTAAATATTAGAGAGCAGTTGCGATTGACCGTGGATTTTCTCCCGTGATTATTGATAAAGCTGTTAAAAAATTTTCAGATTCCCATCAAAGAAGACATTCCACTGTTAGAAATAATATTAATGACCTTGTCGTGCTTCCATTTTATCCTTCTGTTAGCTATAAAATTGCACGGATTCTCCAGAAATTCAATTTTCAAGTCGGTTTCTCCCCTATTAATAAAATTCACCCTTCGATTCTAAAAGATTGCGTTTCTGTCTTGAATTCTTGGGGAATTTATAGTATATCATGTCAGTGTGGTTTAAGATATATTGGCCAAACAAAAAAGAGCGTTGAAGTTTCGTATCAAGAAACATGAATCTTATGTCAGAAAAGGCGAAATTAACAAGTCTTCAATAGCGTATCATAGTTGGACATTTAACCATAATTTTGACTTTGGGTCTGCAAAAATCATCCAAAAGGCTTCTTCCATAGGTGAATTGGATTTTCTTGAGGCGTTTCACATTCACAAAGATTCAGCAAGTTTAGTTAATGATTTGAAGTCCAATCCAGTCCTTCCTAATGCCTTTAAAATTCTACTATCTCAATTCAGTTATTTTTGCCGATAGATGGCGTTACCTCCTCGAGCTTGGTACTACCAGAGGGTATAAAAATCCGTTCAGTGGTTGCTTTCCATTATTTGAAGTTCAGATTTTGAGCGTGAAGGGCATTTGCCCCTCGCTCCCTATTTTAACTTCGCTAATTTTTCTTGTCCTTTATGCTTGATCAGATAGCCTGGCTCAGTAAAAGTAGGCGGCTAGTGCAACTCTGATTAAAAATCCAGTTATAACCACGTGCAGTGCTGATAAGGACCACGTGTTTCTGAGACTCCTTCTCCTTAATTTTCTTCCTTCTAGATATTTCTTTCTACTGATCAGGAGGGACCTTTAGCTGCCCTCGAAATCGATTGAGTGTTTCATTACACTTACGCTAAATACAAGCTTGTTTTTACGACTTTGACTTGCAGAGCATGTTGGCAGTTGCGAGCACTGTGTCATACATTTACCTTGTACTTTTATTAAATAGAATTTTGACACTATATGACAATTTATTTTTATTCTTTTTTGGGGGGAGGGGGAGAAATGCAGTTTAAGATCTGAAGAATGTGATTCTACAGGAGCTATTAAGAAGCTTCAAAAATGAAAGACCTAAGCATGGCATTGTGTGTGTGTGTGATTATGGCAAAGCATCGAGGGCTATCTGCCAAAAGGGAGGGATGCCTTCGTGGAGGACTTTCTAAGGGAAACTGGCTCGTATACACGTTACACACAAGAATGACATTGTAGCGGCTATGGGAATAAACATGTTATGCCAACCAAAACAGCTTCTAGGATATGGGAACGAGCCAAACACTGCTATGACAAGAGAGAACCACTAATGATAAGGAGAAACAGAGGGGTAGAGTGGTCGTCGATACAAAGGAAATGAAGAGATTTTTAAAACAAATCAATAACGTCTCGCTTTGCAAACGTACTTCATAAGGTTATGATGTTGCGTGGCCCCAACTGGTCAGCAACAGTAGTAGTGACTGCTATAAACTGCAAATTATACAAACTCGTAAGAAGGGTTTAAATCCCTTTTTATTCCACTTTAGAAATAACAGCGGCGTTCACTTGACGCTCACAAACTACGCCGACCCGGCGGTATAAAAAAATAGAAAAGTACAACTAAAAATAAATGACAGGATGAATAAATAACGAGGTCACTACCTACGAGGCTCTATAATCGTAACTAACTTAACCGCGTTCTAATATACAGCTGAGATTCAGCAAACTTACTGATTAAGAAGTTGAAAGATTCAACGAACTGCCGAAATAGGCACACAGGCCGAAACGCGCGGTTCTTAAATTTCTACCTAGCAACCTTCACGCTCGTGATTCAAGAAGCACACTTACAATCTCGTTTCCCTTCTATTTAACTCAATTTACTTCTGCTAAAATTTGAATACTCTGCGCGTTCTACTACGATTTACATACTCTGGCATTGGCAATTCTAGGGGAAAGTAAAGGCTTGACAGGAAAGATAGCTTAAAATAAATGTTAGTTAAAATAAATATAAAGCCTACAAGGTAACCCTGCTGTTGCAAAAGAAGATCCACTGACAATGATGCGGAGGGTAAAAAAAAAAGCGCATATTAAGCTTGTTTCTAGTATCATAAACCCTCTACTGCAAGAAAAGAACACATGAAAAATGTACTACTTCGATGTAAACATACTACTCGTGCCAAAGAAACCATTAATGCATCCAATTAAGCAAAGAGTAATTTTAACCTTTAACTGCTGTGAAAATATTTTTGGGGTAATTACTGTGAGCTCACAGGCTGCTTTAAAGAAACGCGTAAAAATACATACTTTTATGCCTTTTTAAGGAATGTTATATATTCTTTATGCATATTTATAGAATTCTAGTTCATTTAAATCAATATAATTTAAACATAAATCATTTGATTTTAAGCAGTTAAATTCATATTAAAAATTGACTATTTTTCTTCGTTTTAAGGAACAAAGCGTTAAAAAACAGAAGATTTTATTGAAACATGCATGGAAAATATGTGACTTTATAAGTATTACCGTCAATTATACCATAATTCTACAACAGTGAATTTAATTATTAATAAATAATAGATTAGTATATCTTCGTTTACAAGGATGAATCATAAGATGATATACAGTCAAAACACATTTTTTGAGAGCACTGAA